TGGAGAGGCAATTTTAATTAATTTGTATTGATTGATTACTATGTTTTTGTCTTATATGTAGCTTGTAAAGGATTAAAGTAAATAAAAGATGTTACTATAATTGCACCTACTGTATAAACACTTCTCTCAAACACTTATGTAACAAGAAAAAAAAATGGATAAATTATCTCACTCTAGTAATGAACAATGTTCATCTATGTAGATATAAACTAATTTCTTTTATTGAAGTATATTTAATTTACAATATTATGTACATTTCAGGTATACAGCAAAGTGACTCAGTTATTTTTTCAGATTATTTTCCATTGTAGGTTATTATAAGATATTGAATGTAGCTCTCTGACCTAAATAATAAATCCTTGTTGCTTATGTATTTTATGTATAATAATTTCTATCTGTTAATCTTTACTCCTAATTCATTCCTTTCCTCCCTCTCTTTATCCTTTTTTAACCATAAATTTTCTGTGTCTGTGAGTCTGTTTCTGTTTTGAATATATATAACTTTGTGTTTTTTATTTTTCATATATAAATGATATCATATAATATTTGTCATTCTCTGCCTGACTTACTTCACTAAGTATGATATTCTTTGTTTTTCTTCTTGGTGTCCTTAGACTCCTCTCTTCATATTTAACTTTTGTCTTTTTAATTATGATATGACTTTGTGTGGGTTTTTTAGGTTCCTATACCTGGGTATCTGTTTCCTTCTTTAGGTTTGGGAAGTTTTCAGCCATAATTTCCTCAAATACATTTTCTATTCCCTTCTCTCTTTCTTCTCCTTCTGGAAGCCCTATTATGTGTAGGTTGGCACACTTCATATTATCCCATAGATCTTGCTTGTCGCTTTTGTTTTTTGGTGTGTCTTTCTGTCTGCTCTTCTGATTGGGTAATGGCCATTATTCTGTCTTCCTGTTCATTATTCTGCATTATTTAGCAAACTACTCATTGCTTTTAGATCAGTTTTTACTTTGCCAGTTGAATTATCTAATGTTGGTTGTTTCCTCTTTACGGTTTCTGGTTCATGGTTACAGTGATCTGCCAGTAATAATGTTTATTAATTCCTTCAGCACTTTAGGGGCTTCCCTGGTGGCTCAGATGGTAAAAGCATCTGTCTGCAATGCAGGAGACCCAGGTTCGATCCCTGGGCCGGGAAGATCCCCTGGAGAAGGAAATGGCACCCCACTCCAGTACTCTTGCCTGGAAAATCCCATGGATGGAGGAGCCTAGTAGGCTGCAGTCCATGGGGTCGCAAAGAGTCGGACACTACTGAGCGACTTCACTTTCTTTCACTTTCAGCATTTTTATTACTTCCTTTTTGAACTTGGGGTCTGGTAGCCTGAAGAGGTATTTCATGTTTTTGTTCTTTCAGGGGATTTTTCTTATTCTTTTAATTGGGAGTTTTTAAATTTCTCTGTCTCTGTGAATTTAGGAGAAAGTTATCTATTATGGTCTTGAAGGGCTCTTTTTATGTGGGAGCATCCTTATGTAGATTGTGTGAGTCCAGTATTTTTGGTGCAAAGGCTATCTTCTCAGTTTGCTGGCCATTGTAGTAGGTGTGATTGGTCTGGTGTCCAGAGCCTGTACTGGATGTTGGGCAGGGCCTTCTCTTTGCTCTATGGCTGTCACAGCCTTGTCAGAGGGCAACGGCCTCTCCCCAGCTGTTGGAGTGGAAGCCCTATGGGTTGGGTTTCATAAGGTTCCATTTCTTTTGTGTCCTCATTCTCCAAGGGGCTGAACACTGAACCCACACGGCTCTGTGGTCACAGTGAACCTATGCACTGGCTGTGCAGGCGTCCACAGTTTTGCCCATAAGTAACCCAAGGTCATATACCTTTTTCTGTTGTGTTCATCACAGACCCTAGTGCTAGACTGGTGGTGGAGGCCAGAGCACTGTGACTGCAGGAATCAAGGTGGTTCCGCTGCTTCCTGGGACCTCCTCTGCCTCTTTGGTAGGGCTCTCCCCAGCCTTGTTCACTCCAGATATGGCTCCAAGCTGCCACGTGAGGAGTGTTCCTGTCAGGAAAGGAACTGCATACTCCTCCCCAGGGGCAGCCCACCAGGAACATTGAGTTCATCATCAGTCCTCCCGTAAAGCTGGATTCACAGTTTGCTGTGACACAAGGTGACAGTGAGTCTTAATCTGTTGACTTGGGCCCCACCTGGCACCACCCGGCGCCATGCTGAAAACACTGGATTCCCATCATGTATCAAGTGAACTCTATCATGTATCCAGTGTGGCATCCTGGACCACACTCCAGGCTGTCTCTGTGCCCCTAGACTGAGTCCTTTCCAGGGTCCCTCCTCCCAAGTCTCAGTGCCTTGCCACTGTGTGTGCTAGCAGCCCTGCTGAGCGTGCATGTTCTGCTGGGAGGTACAGAGATAATTTCTGTACAAAATAAACCCTGATATTGTGCACTGTGTCTGAGAGGCAGCATCACAACCATGTGCCTGGTGGGTGGAATAACAGATGGGGATCAGACAGACTGAAAAGCCAAGGGTATGTGTAGACCAGAGAAGATAAGCAATTCCCTGATGTGCTCCCTCTGTCTCAGGTTGTTGTAGGGTGAGACTGTTTAGGCTGGGTTTCCATACCATTTTCATAGTCAGTAAATGGTAGAGTGTCTCTTTGTGAGTACAATAGATTTCTTAACTTCAGACAAGCCTCTGGAGCTCATCTTGAACAAAAAGTTGGAACGTACAACTTTCCCAAACACCGTTTATCCTGGGAAATGTTTATCACATCTACTACTGCCTCTCTCTTGTATCATCAGTCTGGCACTGAGATGACTTGATAAATAATGTTAGCAAAAAGCCAAGAGTTAGGGAGAATTTTGTGGAATTTAAACTGTGTATCTCCCTCCTGAGCTCGGTAGCTTCTGAAAAATATACATTATCTTTCATCTGCATACCTGTTTCAATGCAATATACATGAAGAACCTTTTTGTAAATACCCTGAATACCCAACAGAAAAATCTTTAAATATGAGGATCAAAATATGTATGCTGTAAGTAAGAAATAATGAATACTATTCTTTGTTATCATTGCATGTTTAAGCTCATTTAGCCTAGGAAGACATGTGCAGTTTAATCCTACATCTTGTAAATAATATAAATTGGAATGCATACACTCTAGACTTGTATCTACAACGCTCTATTAAAAGTAGAGTTTCTGTTGTGCTCTCAAGGAATTTATATTCTGAGATGAAACAAGTTAGATGTTGACATCTTTAAACTAGAATTAGGAGCAGTCAGTTGTAATTGTCCCACCTAGGCAAGTACAGCACCAGAGGGGGGTGTGGCCAGCCTGCCCACTTCACCCATGGCCCTTGCCATGTAGGTTTGAAAATGAAGAAAAGTCTTCAACGTGAAGAAATTTTGAATCCTGATTAGACCCATGCATACTGGCTAGTTTGAGAGCTAGAACAGTGGTCCAGCCTGAGGTTGCAGTCTGCTGTGTTTGCTGACCTCTGCGCCTCTGGGTCAGCCAGGTGAAGAGAAAGACGTCCAGTGTGAAGAGGGCTGATACCTCAGACCAAGCAGTATCCCACCTCACCCCATTCCGTACATCACCCACATTGGTTCCATCTGCTGGGCAGCCCAGCATCCCTGAGATGCATCTTGTACATGGACCTAACAGCAGACATACTGAGAAGATTGGCACATGAGCTGCAGCCCATCATAGAACTCCGCCAGGGGCACCTGCCTAACAAAGAAGTGTTCTAATAATCATTTTGGACTCTCCTTCGGCCGAAATTATGAGCCTTAGTGATGCCCAGTCATTACTCTTAGTCTCAAATAAAGCAAATTGATGGTCACATCCAATCACAGCTCTTTCAGCGCCAAGAATACTGACAGGCAGAGAGAGATTAAGCCCACAGAACCTAGAAACAAAGAAACTTTGAGTGAGAGGTCACTGAGTTTTCTGTTTTTCCCTTCTTTGGTATAGCTTATCTTCTAAAAAGTGGACCTGGTAAAGATTTGCTTTATATTCAGATTTTTTTTGTATTATTTTCTCCAAATATGTAACATATGCAAAGGTAACTCTGCCTTTGAATATATACTCAGAATCATTTCAGGGTAAAACTTGCCTAGAAGAGAATGGAAACAAGAACTCTAGCTGCTTTGATTAATCCATTAACAGATCAATGTTGAGCAATGATGGAAAATAAAACATTTTAGCAACCTGATTTGCAAATACCTACTAGATGAAAATGGGCTTCTCTTGTGGCTCAGCTGGTAAAGAATCTGCCTGCAATGTGGGAGACCTGGGTTCGATCCCTGGGTTGTGAAGATCCCCTGGAGAAGGGAAAGGCTACCCACTCTGATATTCTGGCCTGGAGAATTCCATGGACTGTATAGTCCATGGGGTCGCAAAGAGTCGGACACAACTGAGTGACTTTCACTCTCACTAGATGAAGATATACCCATGTAACAGCTGTGTTCTGAAACTGCCCAGGAAGGCAGTTAAATAAAGAGACCTCAGAGTAGCTTCTTAATGTCATGCTCATGCTCCTCCCTAATAAACAAAATTTCCTGGGAATCTCTAGATAGTAGTACAGATCAGAAGAAATGGAGATAGAGCAGTTTTAACTATACTTTGCTAATATAAACACTTTGTAATTACAACAGTATACATCTATTGACCTCTCAATTTTACTGCCTTAGGGTCTGCTTTAATAAATACCTTTTTGCAAATTTGAATATGAAAAGGCATTGTTTACATAGGTAGTTATAAAGGACCTCTGATATTACACTAATTCTATTTGCTGATTTCCATTTCTCTGAGAAGTACCCCTTCATCCTCACTAGCATTTCCCATTCTATTGCTGGAAAAGACATTAGGCTGCTAAAAGCTTATGCTAATCGATAGTAGCCTAATGAAATCATTGTACTTCTGTGTTTGTATTCTGTAGTTACAGAAATGACTGATTAAGCATGCTTGTATTGGAGTGTATCTATTTCAATGCTTCTTTTGCTTGTCTCCCATTTTCCTTCTTACAGATTTTTAAAAGCATTGGTTCTGATGAGACTGTGCAAGGGCAAGGAAGTCGGAGGCTGATCAGCTTTTCTCTCTCAGGTATGTTGTGCTCATCTGAAGGCCTTTGTGGAGAAAATAAGAATGTCAGTCAGCAATCAGGGGACGTCTTCAGTTTGACCCTTACCTACAAGTTACTTACCCTCTTGCCTCAATTTCTCCATCTATAAAACAAAATTTTAAAATATATTTTAAAATTCTCCTTGACCTCATAAATATTCTGGAGAGTTCAATAAGGAATAGGTGCATTCCTTAGATGAGATGAAATGATGAGAAGCTACTGTTGTAATTGTCCTCCATTGCTAAATAGCAGTAACTGAGAACTTATAAGGTGGAGATAGGGAAAATCTGAAACAAGAAGCAGCTAGCAGACCTTTATCTAAATAAAATCTCACATGAAATCCAGTTGGCAAAACAGATAGGAACTGAACTGCTCAAAACAATGCATCTGTGGAAAGAGCAGAGAAATCCAAATCAAGTCTGTAATTTTGTTAATCATATCTAGTTAATAGTTAAGAGTCATTTAATTTTTTTTAGTTTTCATCATGTACCATAGTTCTGGAACATATTAGTAGGGAAATTGGCTAAATCTTCTTTAAATCTAAAGTAATTTCAAAATTAAAAATATAAAGAAAAACTGAGTTGCTCTAGCAAAAATGATATAGAAAGTTCAGAGCCCCGTTCCCTCAATTTTACTCACAGTGGTCTTTGCAAAGACACAAAGACATGAAGCTTTAGAACTCTATCAAGCCTAGTTTGAAAACAATTGCTTTAGCTCATTGTCAAACCAACAAATGGTTTGTAGGCCATTAATGTCAGAGATCTGAGATCAAAGAAATGAATGAGTGTTCATGAGTGTCCTTGGAAGATGAACAGTCAACTAGGGCTTTTCATGTCTAAGTGAGCCCCCAGTAAAGCAAACATGTGTCTAAAGATCCACTGATAAGTGATAATAACAAGGTTAATGTACAAAAAGTCAGTCACTTTCCTATCTACCACAATGAAGAAATGGAATTTAAATTAAAAGCACAAATCTATTTATATTTAGCACCTCCCCAAATGAAGTACTTAGGTATAAATCTAACAAAATATGTATAAGCTATGTATAAGGAAAACTGCAAAACTCTAATGAATTAAATCAAAGAGCTAAACAAATGGAGATATATTCCATTTTCATGGATAGGAAGACTTAATAGTAAGGATGTCAGTTCTTCCCAAACTGATCTGTAGAATCAGTGCAGTCCCAACCAAAACTCCATCAAGTCATTTTGTGAAAACTGACAAATTGATTTCTAAAATTTATAAGGAAAGGCAAAAGACCCAGAATAGCCAACACAATGCCAAAGGGGAATATCAAAATTGGAGGATCAATGCTTCCCAACTTCAAGACTAACAATAAAACTGCAGTAATCAAGACAGTGCGGTACTTGTGGGGGAAAAAAAAAAACAGGAAAATAGATAAGTGGAATAGACTAGAGTACCCAGAAATAGTCCCCCATATAGTCAGCTGATATTTAAAAGATGAGCAAAGGCAATACAGTTGAGCAAAATAGTCCCTTCCACAAGTGGTACTGGAACAGCTGGACATCCACATGCAAAAAAACAAAAAAAAGAATCTAGACACAGACCTTTATGCCCTTTAAAAAATTAACTGAAAATGTATCACAGACCTAAGTGTAAACCACAAAACTATAAAACTCCTAGAAGATAACATAGGAGAAAGCCTAAATGACCTTCGGTAGGGTAGTGCTTTTTTAGATACAACACCAGAGGCATAATGCATGAAAGAAAAAATCGTAAGATGGACTTCATTAAAGTGAAAAACTTCTCTGCACAAGACAATGTCAAGGAAATGAGAAGACAAGCCACAGACTCAGAAAATATTTGAAAGACACATCTGATAAAATACAGTTAATTCAAAATATACAAAAAACTCTTAAAACTCAACAATATGAAAACAACCCAATTGAAAAATGGGCCAGAGATCTTCTGATCTTATCAGATATCTCACCAAAGAAGCTATATTGATGGCAAATATTCATATGAAAAGGTGCTCCACATCGTATGTTACTCAGTTCAGTTCAGTCACTCAGTCGTGTCCGACTCTTTGTGAGTCCATGAACTGCAGCCCACAAGGCCTCCCTGTCCATCACCAACTCCCAGAGTCCACCCAATCCCATGTCCATTGAGTCGGTGATGCCATCCAACCATCTCATCCTCTGTCGTCCCCTTCTCCTGCCTCAATCTTTCCCAGCATCAGGGTCTTTTCAAATGAGTCAGCTCTTTGCATTAGGTGGCCAAAGTATTGGAGTTTCAGCTTCAGCATCAGTCCTTCCAATGAACACCCAGGACTGATCTCCTTTAGGATGGACTGGTTGGATCTCCTTGCTGTCCAACTGACTCTCAAGAGTCTTCTCCAACACCACAGTTCAAAAGCATCAATTCTTTGGCACTCAGCTTTCTTCACAGTCCAACTCTCACATCCATACATGACCACTGGCAAAACCGTAGCCTTGACTAGACAGACCTTTGTTGACAATGTAATGTCTCTGCTTTTTAATATGCTACCTAGGTTGGTCATAACTTTCCTTCCAAGGAGTAGGCATTTTTAATTTCATGGCTGCAGTCACCATCTGCAGTGATTTTGGAGCCCAAAAAAATAAAGTCAGCCACTGTTTCCACTGTTTCCCCATCTATTTGCCATGAAGTGATGGGACCGGATGCCATGATCTTAGTTTTCTGAATGTTGAGCTTTAAGCCAACTTTCTCACTCTCCTCCTTCACTTTCATCAAGAGGTTCTTTAGTTCTTCTTCACTTTCTGCCATAAGGGTGGTGTCATCTGCATATCTGAGGTTATTGATATTTCTCCCAGCAATCTTGATTCCAGCTTGTGCTTCCTCCAGCCCAGCATTTCTCATGATGTACTCTGCATATAAGTTAAATAAGCAGGGTGACAATATACAGCCTTGACATCCTCCTTTTCCTATTTGGAACCAGTCTGTTGTTCCATGTCCAGTTCTAACTGTTGTTTCCTGACCTGCTTACAGATTTCTCAAGAGGCAGGTCAGATAGTCTGGTATTCCCATCTCTTTCAGAATTTTCCACAGTTTACTGTGATCTACACAGTCAAAGGCTTTGGCATAGTAAATAAAGCAGAAATAGATGTTTTTCTGAAACTCTCTTGCTTTTTCAATGATCCAGCAGATGTCATTAAGGAAATGCAAATTAAAATGAGATACTACTATGTACCTATTGGAATGACCAAAATCCAGAACACTGAAAACACTAAATACTGGCAAAGATGTGGACCAAAAGAAACTCACATTTATTGCTGGTAGGAATGTAAATGGTACAGACACTCTTAAATGCATTTTGGTAGTTTCTTTCAAAACTAAACATACTCTTACTACATGATCCCGTGATCACATTGCTTGGCAATTGCCCAAATGGAATAAGTTCCATTCAAAAACCTAACACAAATGTCTATGGCAGCCTTATTTATGCTTGCCAAAACTTGGAAGTAATCAAGAGGTCTTTCAGTAGATGAATGGATAAATAAACTGTAGTACGTTCAGATAATGGAATATTATTCAGTGCTAAAAAGAAATGAGCTATCAAGCCATGAAAAAAGACATGAGGAATCTTGAATGCATATTACTCACTGAAAAAAGCCAATCTGGAAAGTCTTCATACTATGTAAATCCAACTATGTCACATTCTGGGAAAGGTAAAACTATGAAGATGATAGAAACATCAGTGATTCTAGGAGATGAGGGGAGGAGAGATGAACAGGTGGGGCACAGGATTTTTAGAGCAGTGAAAATACTCTGAGAGAGTAATGATGGATACATGTGATAATGCCTTTGTCAATGCCCATTGAATGTGTACTGCCAAGAGTGAATCCTAATGTAAATTATGGATTTGGGGAAGAAAGGTAAAGTGTCTCTCAACTGTGATGATGGTGTGTCAATCTAGGCTCATCAGTTGTAACCAATGCACCACTCTAGTAGGAGATGTTGTGAATGGGGGTCAGGGGCTATGCATGTATGGAGCAGGCAATATATGGGAAAATCTATGTATTTCCTTTTGATTTTGCTATTAATCCACAACTACTCTAAAAGAAAGTAAGTCTTAAAAAAGCCCACTGTCATCAACAGAATGTGTCTGTCAGTTTTTTTTTTTAAAAAAAAAACTCAATACTTTGTATTACTAGGACAGAAAACTAACAACTCCTGATTTGTTATTCTTATGTTCCCATTGAAATGCTTGATAACTAGCAATTATTTATGTAAGCCTTCAGAAACAGTAGAAACCAGGAAAACTACTGTCTGTGAGAAATAAAGAATTTTCACTAGCCAGAGCTTACTAAAATCCTAAAGTCTACAAGGTATGCCATTCAGGATAGACAGCATGGGACTGTGGAAAGAGACAAAATCTCCATTCATTGGTTCCCATTTTGGCTCTGCCATGCAGACCTGGACTCATAGACTGACCAGAGGAAATGAAACCACTCCACTACCATCACCAGTTTGATTCAAAAAGCTACTTTCTAAGGATCAGGATTGGTTCATTTCCTGTGGTCCCCAATATATCATTTTTCTTACAGTTATCTCAAGGCAAAAATTGCCAGCAATGAAATGTGACTGGACGTGTAAAATGAGCAACTAAAGAAGCAAGCCTGGAATGGTAGTGGAGATATAATACTTTGTAATTGAATATGTATGTGTTTAACTCACTGTCAAGGAAAGGTAAATACTGCTATCATGATAAATTCCATGCCTCAAAGAAAGCTAAAAAGGTCATCAAATCTATAACTAAGCAAAACCTACAAATTATCAAAGAAGTTAACTAGATGCTAGTCATCTCCAGGTATAAAAGTAGGGATGAGGATTCTAATAGCAGCCCATTGTACAACCAAACTAACTAAAGATGGACAATACCAGGGCTACACACAACTTACTCATGGACTTAAAAAATATGTGGATAATGGATTCTACCTTAAAAAGAAAAAGTTGAAGGACATAACACTCAAGAGGATAAA